GATGGCAACAGCATTATTCTCCTTCTCACCACGATATGATGGACACCTTCTCGTTACCTTGATCCTCTGGTAACCCCGTCTTCCCTCCGCATGGTCGAGGTCTCACACAAAACCCTCATTGATGTAGTCCTGGTGGCGTGGTGTCAAACCCTCGTACCTGTCTACACTACAGTGATCTACGCTACACCTTTGATATACCCCCCACACACACGCTGATGAATGAGCCTTTTTTTTACATTAATCAGCTGGTGTTTATGTTGAGTCAGCTGTTTTTATGTTGAATCAGCTGTTGTTTATGTTGAATCAGCTGTTGTTTATGTTGAATCAGCTGTTGTTTACGTTGAATCAGCTGTTGTTTGCTTTGAATCAGCTGTTGTTTACATTGAATCAGCTTTTCTGTACGTTGAATCAGCTGTTGTCTACGTTGCTCAGCTGATCATTATTAACCTCATCAGCTAATCATTATTAACCTCATCAGCTCATTGGCAATACTCAGCTAATTCATTATCTTATCAAACAACAATATATTCTTAACATCATCTACCGGAAATTCTTTAACAACTCTCTGGAATTTTCTCATTTTCTAAATTTCTTCTAAGAATGCAAGAGCAATTCATTCTCTCTCTCTCTCTCTCTCTCTCTCTCTCTCTCTCTCTCTCTCTCTCTCTCTCTCTCTCTCTCTCTCTCTCTCTCTCTCTCTCTCTCTCTCTCGTGAAGGAAGCCGATAATATTGTTGCATTCTTTTTCGTGTCGGTTTCTCGAGGCTTTCCTTAAACTCTCTCTGGGCTTCATCATCGATTATAGATCACTTAGATGTACCCGGCTCAGGTGTATCCGGCTCCCACTCAGGTGTATCCAGTTCCCATTATGTGTATCCGGCTCCCACTCAAGTATATCCAGCTCACACTGGTGAATCCGACTCCGACTCATGTGTATCCGGCTCCCATTCTGTGTATCCGGCTCCCACTCAGGTGTATCCGGCTCCCACTCAGGTGTATCCGCTCCCTCCAGGTGTATCCGGCTCCCACTCAGGTGTATCCGGCTCCCCACTCAGGTGCATCCGGCTCCCACTCAAGTATATCCAGCTCCCACTCAGGTGTATCGGCTCCCACTCAGTGCATCCGGCTCCCCTTAAAATATATCCGTCTCCCTCAGGTGTATCCGGCTCCCACTCAGGTGTTATCAGACGAGCAAAAGAGAGATCGCGTGTGGCTACCTCGGTAATGGAGTCATCGACCCTGGGTGAACCACACTGTCTGGCTGGGTCGTCTTGTGACCTGATATGACCTGTAAGGAGTCTTAAGTACCTGTATGAACTGTAAGGAGTCGTTATGTGACCTGTATGACCTGTAAGGGGTCGTTATATGACCTGATATGACCTGTAATGGGCCGTTATGTGACCCATATGTCCTGTAAGGAGTCATTATGTGACCTGTATGACCTGTAAGGAGTCGTTATGTGACCTGTATGACCTGTACACACTACCCAGCTTACACACGACCTAGCATACACACGACCCAGCTTACACACGACCCAGCTTACACACGACCCAGTGTACACACGACCCAGAGTACACACGACCCAGAGTACACACGACCCAGAGTACACACGACCTAGAGTACACACGACCAAGAGTACACACGACCCAGAGTACACACGACTCAGAGTACACACGACCCAGAGTACACACGACCTAAAATACGACCCAGAGTACACACGACTCAGAGTACACACGACCCAGAGTACACACGACCTAGAGTACACACGACCCAGAGTACACACGACCCGGAGTACACACGACCCAGAGTACACAATAACAGATGAATACTGCAACAGCTAACGCAACAACCAGTTCAATCATGTCTACTCAAGCCAGATTTGTCCATTTATACAAGTCATGTCTGCGAAGAAACTGGACACGAATAAAACATGGAAGGGATGAGACAGACAGACAGATAGACAGACAGACAGATAGACAGACAGACAGACAGACAGACAGACAGATAGACAGATTCTCGTGTTTGTCTTGGTTTGCCTCTGTTATTGTGCCCGGAAAATCTTTCAATATGGCGACCGAATTGTGTTGTGACTGTAAACCTTCTCTTTGTTAGGGAGGAGGGAGAGGAGAGAGGGAGGAGGAGGGAGGGGGAGAGAGGAGGAGGGAGGAGATGGAGAGGAGGAAGAGTGGGGTCAAATGTGGTGAGGGAAGGAGTGGAAGGAAACAGAGGTTGGAGGAGGAATAGAATTGAGGTAAATTTAATGAAGGAGGGAAGGAATGAAGGGATTTGGGAGTGAGCAAAAAGAATTGAAGGAATATGGTAAAGGGAAGGATGGATATGAAGAAGGAAAGAAAGAAGGAGGAAGGAAGAGAGGAAGAAGAAATTGAGGGTAGGATGAGAGAGAGAGAGAGAGAGAGAGAGAGATTAAAGCATATTAAATAAAACAAATAAGCATTACCTCTTAGACTAGAGCATAAACGGAACATCGATTAAAGGTCCCATAAGAACCAATATCCCTATCCTTAAAGCCTGGACAGTCGACCGTAACACCAGGTGTGCTGGGGGTATCGTTACATACCACTATCCTGCCCCGAGTTCCTGGAGTACGTGGCCACTCTATATATATCACACCGTAAGTGGGGTGTGTGTGTGTGTGTGTGTGTGTGTGTGTGTGTGTGTGTGTGTGTGCGTGTGTGTGTGTGTGTGCAAGAGAGAGAGAGTGAGATAAATAAACAAACAGACAGACAGTGAAACAGACAGACAGACAGACCAGACGAACGAACGAACGATGAAGAACAGACAAACAGACGAACCAGACAGACAGACAGACAGAGCAGACAGACAGACGTGGGCAGACAGTGAAACAGACAAACAGACAGACAGACGAACAGACAGACAGACAGACAGACAAACAGACAGACAGTGAAACAGACGAACCAGGGCAGGAACGAGGTGAAACAGACAGACAGTGAGACAGACAGACAGACAGACAGACAAACACTATTATTCCCTAACTTTCTAAGCATTACTTTAACATGAGATTACGTGAAGAAAGTTGCAATTACAATGCTGTTTATAATATGTAAATTAGCTCTTCATCGCAGACTACTGGGATCTAATATGAAACACGACATTCTAACGTCTATGTAAACTGTGAATATGACTTGAATTTACATATAGACCTAAATAACTGTAGTTTGTGGGTGTAGCGGTGTTCCTGTGGGCGTGTGTGTGTGTGGGAGGGGGTGCGTGCGCGTGTGTGTGTGTGTGTGTGTGTGTGTGTGTGTGTGTGTGTGTGTGTGTGGGAGAGAGAAAGAGAGAGAAACAGAGAATTTCTACCTGGGTCATAAAGTATATGTCTCTATTACGTAACCCGCACGGCAGTATTTCACAACCCTGAAAAAGTTGTAAGTTAATTTTAATAAGTAGTTCCGTTCTTAGTACATAATAAAGTGTTTGTTTATGATCCTTCAGATAATATTAAAAGTGTTTTAGTTAGAGTGTGTGGGGCGGGTGTGTGGGGTGCGTGTGTGGGGTGTGTGTGTAGGGCAGGTGTGGCTGTAATGTGTATGGGGTGTGTGTGTGTGTGTGGGGAATGCGTGTGTGGGGTGTGTGTGTGGGGTGCGTGTGTGTGGGGTGTGTGTGTGGGGTACGTGTGTGGGGTGTGTGTGTGTGTGTGGGGCAGGTGTGTGACTGTGTGTGGGTGTGTGTGGGGTGTGTGTGGGGGTGTGTGTGTGTGTGGGGTGCGTGTGTGGGGTGTGTGTGTGGGGTGTGTGTGTGTGGGGTGTGTGGGGGTGTGTGTGTGGGGTGTGTGTGTGGGGTGTGTGTGACTGTGTGTGGGGTGTGTGTGTGTGCGGTGCGTGTGTGGGGTGTGTGTGGGGTGTGTGTGGGGTGTGTGTGTGAGGGTTGTGTGTGGGGTGTGTGTGTGGGGTGTGTGTGTGTGGGGTGTGTGTGTGGGGTATTATTATTATTGGGGTGTGTGTGTGGGTGTTTTGTATGGGGTGTGTGTGTGGGGTGTGTGTGTGGGGTGCGTTTGTGGGGTGTGTTTGTGCGGTGTGTGTGTGGGGTGTGTGTGTGGTGTGTGTGGGGTGTGTGTGGGGTGTGTGTGTGGGGTGTGTGTGGGGTGTGTGTGTGGGGTGTGTGTGTGGGGTGTGTGTGTGTGGTGTGTGTGTGGGGTGTGTGTGTGGGGTGTGTGTGTGGGGTGTGTGTGTGGGGTGTGTGTGTGTGGGGTGTGTGTGTGTGGGGTGCGTGTGTGGGGTGTGTGTGGGGTGCGTGTGTGGGGTGTGTGTGTGGGGTGCGTGTGAATAATAATAATAATAATAATAATAATAATAATAATAATAATAATAATAATAATAATAATAAACGGTTTATTAATAGAGTTGCAGCCTATGGCTAAAAATATACAAACTCACATTTGATTTCGACATAATGATATGCGTTGAATACATTTACAGGGCTCTACACTACATAAATCAGGAGTTGTTTATTATTTTAACAATAGATGGGATGGTGCTATTCTTATAGCTATCAGTGCGGGCTCTTATGGGTTGAATTTTGTTGTAGTGGCGGACTGCCCGAGGTGGGCGGGGAACTGCCGGTGACAGGAGGTGGCGATGACGAGGATGGTGCAGTAATCCACTGCCAAACCTTGCTAGTGCTTGGTGGTGAAGGTCTCTGAGGGATGGCATTTCCAGGATGGAGAGAGCGTTGATGTAGCCGTAGTAGTCTGCGCCAAGCATGATTCTGCAGGCCCTTTTCTGTACCTTCTCTAGCCGACGTTGTTGGGTAGAGTTGACGCATATGTTAAGTTTGGGGAGAATAAGGGCGTTGTAGATGGTCCTCAGCTTGGGCGTGGGTGTCCCAAGTGACCTGAGTCGTCGTAGCATGTAGAGTCGGTACGAGGCTGCCTTGATTGTGTTGTTTACATGGGCCTTCCAGTCCAATTTGTGGTCTATGGTAACACCCAGGAGTTTGGCAGACTGCACTAACTGGAGAGGA